CCTTGTTGCATCTCTAGTTTTGTTTCCACTTTGCACACCAAATAAAACCCAGGTTCCATGGCTCGTTGGTCTAGGGGTATGATTCTCGCTTTGGGTGCGAGAGCTCCCGGGTTCGAATCCCGGACGAGCCCAGCTTTCCTCATGGTTCAACAAATACATTTTCCACTCTTGTTGCATCTGTAGTTTTGTTTCCACTTTGCACACCAAATAAAACCCACATTCCATGGCTCGTTGGTTTAGGGGTATGATTCTCGCTTTGGGTGCGAGAGGTCCTGGGTTCAAATTCTGGATGAGCCCAGCTTTCATTATGGTTCAACAACAAAATTTTCCAACCTTGTTGCATCTGTAGTTTTGTTTACACTTTGGACACCAAATAAAACCAAGGTTCAAAGGCTCGTTGGTCTAGGGGTATGATTCTCGCTTAGGGTGCGAGAGGTCCCAGGTTCTAATCCTGGACGAGCCCAGTTTTAATAATGGCTCAACACCTAAATTTTCCACCCTTGTTGCATCTGTAGTTTCCTTTCCACTTTGCACACCAAATAAAACCACTTTCCATGGCTAGTTGGTCAAGGGGTATGATTCTCGCTTAGGGTGCGAGAGGTCCCGGGTTCAAATCCCGGACGAGCCCAGCTTTCATTATGGTTCAACACCTATATTTTCCATGTGTTTTGCATCTGTAGTTTTGTTTACACTTTGCACACCAAAAAAAAACAAGGTTCAAAGGCTCGTTGGTCTAGGGGTATGATTCTCGCTTAGGGTGCGAGAGGTCCCGGGTTCAAATCCCGGACGAGCCCAGCTTTAATAATTATTCAATACCTATATTTTCCATATGTTTTGCATCTGTAGTTTTGTTTCCATTTGGCACACCAAATAAACCCCACATTCCATGGCTTGTTGGTCTAGGGGTATGATTCTCGCTTAGGGTGCGAGAGGTCCTGGGTTCATATCCTGGACGAACGCAGCTTTAATTATGGTTCAACACCTATATTTTCCATGTGTTTTGCATGTGTTGTTTTGTTTCCATTTGGCACATCAAATAAATTGTCTAGGGGTATTATTCTCGATTTGGGTGCGGGAGGTCCATGGTTCAAATCCTGGAAGAGCCCAGCTTTAATCATGGTTCAACACCTAAATTTTCCACTCTTGCTGCATCTGTAATTTTGTTTCCACTTTGGACACCAAATGAAACCAATGTTCCATGGCTCGTTGGTCTAGGGGTATGATTCTCGCTTTGGGTGTGAGAGGTCCCAGGTTCAAATCCAGGATGAGCCCAGCTTTAACTATGGTTAAATTTTCCACATCTGTTGCATCTGTAGTTTTGTTTCCACATTGCACAGCAAACAAAACCCACGCACCATGGCTAGTCTCGCTTCGGGTGCGAGAGGTCCGGGTTCAATTCCCGGATGAGCCCAGCTTTCATTATGGTTCAACAACTAAATTTTCCAACATTGTTGCATCTTTAGTTTTGTTTCCATTTGGCACACCAAATAAAACCACATTCCATGGCTCGTTGGTCTAGGGGTATGATTCTTGCTTAGGGTGCGAGAGGTCCCGGGTTCAAATCCCAGACAAGCCCAGCTTTCATTATGGTTCAACATCTAAATTTTCCACCCCTTTTTGCATCTGTAGTTTTGTTTCCACATTGCACACAAATAAAAATCCATACACCTAGGCTCGTTGGTCTAGGGGTATGATTCTCGCTTTGGGTGCAAGAGGTCCTGGGTTCAAATCCTGGACAAGCCCAGCTTTAATTATGGTTCAACACCTAAATTTTTCACCCTTGTTGCATCTGTAGATTTGTTTCCACATTGCACACCAAAAGAATTCCTATGTTCCATGGCTTGTTGGTCTAGGGGTATGATTCTCGCTTAGGGTGCGAGAGGTCCCGGGTTTAATTCCCGGACGAGCCCAGCTTTTATTATGGTTCAACAACTAATTTTCCACCCTTGTTGCATCTGTAGTTTTGTTTCCACTTTGAACACCAAATAAAACCAAGATTCCAAGGCTCGTTGGTCTTGGGGTATGATTCTCGCTCTGGGTGTGAGAGGTCCCGGGTTCAAATCCCAGACGAGCCCAGCTTGGTTCTAATTTTCCAACCTTTTGCATCTGTAGTTTTGTTTCCACATTGCACACCTAAAGAAAACCCATGTTCCATGGCTCGTTGGTCTAGGGGTATGATTCTCGCTTTGGGTGCACGAGGTCCTGGCTTTAATTATGGTTCAACACCTAAATTTTTCACCCTTTTTGCATCTGTAGTTTTGTTTCCACTTTGCACACCAAAAGAATACGCATGTTCCATGGCTCGTTGGTCTAGGGGTATGATTCTTGCTTCGAGTGAGAGAGGTCCTGGGTTCAGAGCCCAGACGAGCCCAGCTTTCATAATGGTTCAACAACTACATTTTCCACCCTTTGCATCTGTAGTTTTGTTTCCACTTTGGACACCAAATAAAACCAAAAGGCTCCTTGGTCTAGGGGTATCCAGATGTTACCATGTGCATCCTGTTTCAAATCCCGGATGATTTCTTTATGGTTCAACAACTACATTTTCCACCTTGTTGCATCTGTAGTTTTGTTTCCACTTGCACACAAATAAAACCAGTTCCATGGCTCGTTGGTCTAGGGGTATGATTCTCGCTTTGGGTGCGAGAGGTCCGGGTTCAAGGGTTCAAATCCCGGAGCCCATCTTTAAATATGAACACCTGCATCTGTAGTTTTCTTTCCACTTTGCACACCAACTAAAACCATCAATGGCTCGTTGGTCTAGGGTATATTCTTGCTTAGGGTGGAGAGGTCCTGGGTTCAAACCCCGGATGAGCCCAGCTTTCCTCATGGTTCATCAAATACATTTTCCACCTTGTTGCATCTGTAGTTTTGTTTCCACTTTGCACACCAAATAAAAACCAGGTTCCATGGCTCGTTGGTCTAGGGGTATGATTCTCGCTTTGGGTGCGAGAGGTCCCGGGTTCAAATCCCGGATGAGCCCAGCTTTCCTCATGGTTCAACAAATACATTTTCCACCCTTGTTGCATCTGTAGTTTTGTTTCCACTTTGCACACCAAATAAAACCCAGGTTCCATGGCTCGTTGGTCTAGGGGTATGATTCTTGCTTTGGGTGCGAGAGGTCCCGGGTTCAAATCCCGGATGAGCCCAGCTTTCCTCATGGTTCAACAAATACATTTTCCACCATTGTTGCATCTGTAGTTTTGTTTCCACTTTGAACACCAAATAAAACCAAGATTCCAAGGCTCGTTGGTCTAGGGGTATGATTCTTGCTTAGGGTGCGAGAGGTCTCGGGTTCAATTCCCGGATGAGCCCAGCTTTCCTCATGGTTCAACAAATACATTTTCCATCCTTGTTGCATCTGTAGTTTTGTTTCCACTTTGCACACCAAATAAAACCCAGGTTCCATGGCTTGTTGGTCTAGGGGTATGATTCTTACTTTGGGTGCGAGAGGACACGGGTTCAAATCCCGGACGACCCCAGCTTTTATTTTGGTTCAACACCTATGTTTTCCATGTGTTTTGCATCAGTAGTTTTGTTTCCACATTACACACCAAAAGAAAACCCATGTTCCATGGCTCGTTGGTCTAGGGGTATGACTCTTGCTTCAGGTGCGAGAGGTCCCGGGTTCAAATCCCGGACGAGCCCAGCTTTCATTATGGTTCAACAACTAAATTTTCCAACCTTGTTGCATCTGTAGTTTTGTTTCCACTTTGGCACATCAAATAAAACCCATACACCATGGCTCGTTGGTCTAGGGATATGATTCTCGCTTTGAGTGCGAGAGGTCCCGGGTTCAAATCCCGGATGAGCCCAGCTTTCCTCATGGTTCAACAAATACATTTTCCACCCTTGTTGCATCTGTAGTTTTGTTTCCACTTTGCACACCAAATAAAACCCAGGTTTCATGGCTCGTTGGTCTAGGGGTATGATTCTCGCTTTGGGTGCGAGAGGTCCCGGGTTCAAATCCCGGATGAGCCCTGCTTTCCTCATGGTTCAACAAATACATTTTCCACCCTTGTTGCATCTGTAGTTTTGTTTCCACTTTGCACACCAAATAAAACCCAGGTTCCATGGCTCGTTGGTCTAGGGGTATGATTCTCGTTTTGGGTGCGAGAGGTCCCAGGTTCAAATCCCGGATGAGCCCAGCTTTCCTCATGGTTCAACAAATACATTTTCCACCCTTTCTGCATCTGTAGTTTTGTTTCCACTTTGCACACCAAATAAAATCCAGGTTCCATGGCTCGTTGGTCTAGGGGTATGATTCTCGCTTTGGGTGCGAGAGGTCCCGGGTTCAAATCCCGGATGAGCCCAGCTTTCCTCATGGTTCAACACCTAAATTTTTCACCCTTGTTGCATCTGTAGTTTTGTTTCCACTTTGCACACCAAATAAAAACCAGGCTCAATGGCTCGTTGGTCTAGGGGTATGATTCTCGCTTTGGGTGTGAGAGGTCCCGGGTTCAAGTCCCGGGCTCAAATCCCAGGCGAGCCCATCTTTAAATATGGTTTAACACCTCAATTTTCCACTCTTTTTGCATCTGTAGTTTTCTTTCCACTTTGCACACAAACTAAAACTCATACACCATGGCTCGTTGGTCTAGGTGTATGATTCTTGCTTAGGGTGCTAGAGGTCCTGGTTTCAAATACCGGATGAGCCCAGCTTTCCTCATGGTTCAACAAATACATTTTCCACCCTTGTTGCATCTGTAGTTTTGTTTCCACTTTGCACACCAAATAAAACCCAGGTTCCATGGCTCGTTGGTCTAGGGGTATGATTCTCGCTTTGGGTGCGAGAGGTCCCGGGTTCAAATCCCGGATGAGCCCAGCTTTCCTCATGGTTCAACAAATACATTTTCCACCCTTTTTGCATCTGTAGTTTTGTTTCCACTTTGCACACCAAATAAAACCCAGGTTCCATGGCTCGTTGGTCTAGGGGTATGATTCTCGCTTAGGGTCCGAGAGGTCACGAGTTTAATTCCCGGACGAGCCCAGCTTGCATTATGGTTCAACAACTAAATTTTCCAACCTTGTTGCATCTGTAGTTTTGTTTCCACTTTGAACACCAAATAAAACCAAGATTCCAAGGCTCGTTGGTCTAGGGGTATGATTCTTGCTTAGGGTGCGAGAGGTCCCGGGTTCAAATCCCGGATGAGCCCAGCTTTCCTCATGGTTCAACAAATACATTTTCCACCCTTGTTGCATCTGTAGTTTTGTTTCCACTTTGCACACCAAATAAAACCCAGGTTCCATGGCTTGTTGGTCTAGGGGTATGATTCTTACTTTGGGTGCGAGAGGACACGGGTTCAAATCCCGGACGACCCCAGCTTTTATTTTGGTTCAACACCTATGTTTTCCATGTGTTTTGCATCAGTAGTTTTGTTTCCACATTACACACCAAAAGAAAACCCATGTTCCATGGCTCGTTGGTCCAGGGGTATTATTTTCGCTTATAATGCGAGAGGACCTGGGTTTAAATCCTAGACGAGCCCAGCTTTCATTATGGTTCAACAACTAAATTTTCCAACCTTGTTGCATCTGTAGTTTTGTTTCCACTTTGGCACATCAAATAAAACCCATACACCATGGCTCGCTGGTCTAGGGATATGATTCTCGCTTTGAGAGCGAGAGGTCCCGGGTTCAAATCCCGGATGAGCCCAGCTTTCCTCATGGTTCAACAAATACATTTTCCACCCTTGTTGCATCTGTGGTTTTGCACCAAATAAAACCCAGGCCATGGCTCGTTGGTCTAGGGGTATGATTCTCGCTTTGGGTGCGAGAGGTCCCGGGTTCAAATCCCGGATGAGCCCAGCTTTAATTATGGTTCAACACCAAAATTTTCCACCCTTGTTGCATCTGTAGTTTTATTTCCACTTTGCACACCAAATAAACCACTTTCCATGGCTAGTTGGTCTAGGGGTATGATTCTCGCTTAGGGTGCGAGAGGTCCTGGGTTCAAATCCTGGACGATCCCAGCTTTAATTATGGTTCAACACCTATATTTTCCATGTGTTTTGCATCTGTAGTTTTGTTTCCATTTGTCACACCAAACAAAACCCAAGCACCATGGCTAGTAGTATGATTTTTGCTTTGGGTGCGAGAGGTCCCGTGTTCAAATCCTGGATGAGGCCAGCTTTAATTAAGGTTCAACACCTAAATTTTCCACCCTTGTTGCATCTGTAGTTTTCTTTCCACTTTGCACACCAAATAAAACCCACATTCCATGGCTCGTTGGTCTAGGGGTATGATTCTTGCTTTGGGTGCGAGAGGTCCCCGGTTCAAATTCTGGACATACCCAGCTTTAGTTATGGTTCAACACCTATATTTTCCATGTGTTTTGCATCTGTAGTTTTGGTTCCAGATTGCACACCAAACAAAAGCAAAGCACCATGGCTAGTAGTATGATTCTTGCTTTGGGTGCGAGAGGTCCTGGGTTCAAATCCTGGATGAGCCCAGCTTTAATTAAGGTTCAACACCTAAATTTTCCACCATTGTTGCATCTGTAGTTTTGTTTCCACTTTGCAGACCAAACAAATCCAATGTTCCATGGATTGTTGGTCTAGGGGTATGCTTCTCGCTTAAGGGTGCCAGAAGTCCCAGGTTTAATTCCCGGATGAGCCCAGCTATATTTATGGTTCAACACCTATATTTTCCATGTGCTTTGCATCTATAGTTTTGTTTCCACCAAATAAAACCCACATTCCATGGCTCGTTTGTCTAGGGGTATGATTCTCGCTTAGGGTGCGAGAGGTCCCGGGTTCAAATCCCGGACGAGCCCAGCTTTCATTATGGTTCAACACCTATATTTTCCATGTGTTTTGCATCTGTAGTTTTGTTTCCATTTGGCACACCGAATAAAACCCACATTCCATGGCTCGTTGGTTTAGGGGTATGATTCTTGCTTAGGGTGCGATAGGTCCCAGGTTCAGATCCCGGACTAGCCCAGCTTTAATAATGATTCAATACCTTTAATTTCCATATGGTTTGCATGTGTTGTTTTGTTTCCATTTGGCACACCAAATAAATTGTCTAGGGGTATGATTCTTGATTTGGGTGCAGGAGGTCCATGGTTCAAATCCTGGAAGAGCCCAGCTTTAATCATGGTTCAACACCTAAATTTTCCACTCTTGCTGCATCTGTAATTTTGTTTCCACTTTGGACACCAAATGAAACCAATGTTCCATGGCTCGTTGGTCTAGGGGTATGATTCTCGCTTTGGGTGTGAGAGGTCCCAGGTTCAAATCCAGGATGAGCCCAGCTTTAACTATGGTTAAACTTTCCACATCTGTTGCATCTGTAGTTTTGTTTCCACATTGCACACCAAACAAAACCCACGCACCATGGCTAGTGGTATCATTCTTGCTTCGGGTGCAAGAGGTCCCGGGTTCAAATCCTGGACGAGCCCAGCTTTAATTATGGTTCAACACCTATATTTTCCATGTGTTTTGCATCAATAGTTTTGTTTCCACATTGCACACCAAAAGAAAACCCATGTTCAATGGCTCGTTGGTCTAGGGGAATGATTCTTCCTTCGGGTGCAAGACGTCCCGGGTTCAAATCCCGGACGAGCTCAGCTTTCATTATGGTTCAACAACTAAATTTTCCACTCTTGTTGCATTTGTAGTTTTCTTTCCACTTTGCACACCAAATGAAACCCAGGTTCCATGGCTCGTTGGTCTAGGGGTATGATTCTCGCTTTGGGTGCGAGAAGTCCCGGGTTCAAATCCCGGACGAGCCCAGCTTTCATAATGGTTCAACAACTAAATTTTCCAACATTGTTGCATCTGTAGTTTTTTTCCATTTGGCACACCAAATAAAACCCAGACACCATGGCTCGTTTGTCAAGGGTTATGGCTTCTTGCTTCGGGTGCGAGAGGTCTCGGGTTCAAATCACGGACGAGCCCAGCTTTAACTATGGTTAAATTTTCCACACCTGTTGCATCTGTAGTTTTGTTTCCACATTGCACACCAAACAAAACCCACGCACCATGGCTAGTGGTATCATTCTTGCTTCGGGTGCGAGAGGTCCCGGGTTCAAATTCTGGAAGTACCCAGCTTTAATTATGGTTCAACACCAAAATTTTCCACCCTTGTTGCATCTGTAGTTTTCTTTCCATTTGGCACACCAAATAAAACCCCCATTCCATGGCTCGTTGGTCTAGGGGTATGATTCTCGCTTAGGGTGCGAGAGGTCCCGGGTTCAAATCCCAGACGAGCCCAGCTTTCATTATGGTTCAACACCTATATTCTCTATGTGTTTTGCATCTGTAGTTTTGTTTCCATTTGGCACACCAAATAAAACCCACATTCCATGGCTCGTTGGTCTAGGGGTATGATTCTCGCTTAGGGTGCGAGAGGTCCCGGGTTTAATTCCCGGACGAGCCCAGCTTGCATTATGGTTCAACAACTAAATTTTCCACCTTGTTGCATCTGTAGTTTTGTTTCCACTTTGCACACCAAATAAAACCCAGGTTCCATGGCTCGTTGGTCTAGGGGTATGATTCTCGCTTTGAGTGCGAGAGGTCCTGGGTTCAAGTCCCGGGCTCAAATCCAGGGTGAGCCCATCTTAAAATATGGTTTAACACCTCAATTTTCCACTCTTTTTGCATCTGTAGTTTTCTTTCCACTTTGCACACCAACTAAAACTCATACACCATGGCTTGTTGGTCTAGGTGTATGATTCTTGCTTAGGGTGCGAGAGGTCCTGGGTTCAAATCCTGGACGAGCCCAGCTTTCATTATGGTTCAACAACTAAATTTTCCAACCTTGTTGCATCTGTAGTTTTGTTTCCACATTGCACATCAAAAGGAAACCAATATTCCATGGCTTGTTGGACTAGGGGTATGATTCTCGCTTTGAATGCGAGAGGTCCCAGGTTCAAATCCTGGAAGAACCCAGCTTTAACTATGGTTTAACACCTAAATTTTCCACTCTTTTTGCATCTGTAGTTTTGTTTCCACTTTGGCACATCAAATAAAACCCATACACCATGGCTCGTTGGTCTAGCGATATGATTCTCGCTTTGGGTGCGAGAGGTCCCGGGTTCAAATCCCGGACGAGCCCAGCTTTAATTATGGTTCAACACCAAAATTTTCCACCCTTGTTGCATCTGTAGTTTTCTTTCCACTTTGCACACCAAATAAAACCCAGATTCCATGGCTTGTTGGTCTAGTGGTATGATTCTTGCTTAGAGTGTGAGAGGTCCCGGGTTCAAATCCCGGATGAGCCCAGCTTTCCTCATGGTTCAACAAATACATTTTCCACCCTTGTTGCATCTGTAGTTTTGTTTCCACTTTGCACACCAAATAAAATCCAGGTTCCATGGCTCGTTGGTCTAGGGGTATGATTCTCGCTTTGGGTGCAAGAGGTCCCGGGTTCAAATCCCGGACGAGCCCAGCTTTCATTATGGTTCAACAACTAAATTTTCCACTCTTGTTGCATTTGTAGTTTTCTTTCCACTTTGCACAACAAATAAAAATCCAAACTCCTAGGCTCGTTGGTCTAGGGGTATGATTCTCGCTTTGGGCGCGAGAGGTCCCGGGTTCGAATCCCGGACGAGCCCAGCTTTCATTATGGTTCAACAACTAAATTTTCCACTCTTGTTGCATCAGTAGTTTTGTTTCCACATTGCACACCAAAAAAAAACCCATGTTCCATGGCTCGTTGGTCTAGGGGTATGATTCTCGCTTTGGGTGCGAGAGGTCCCGGGTTTAATTATGGTTCAACACCTAAATTTTTCACCCTTGTTGCATCTGTAGTTTTGTTTCCACTTTGCACACCAAAAGAGTACGCAAATAAAACCAAGGTTCCAAGGCTCCTTGGTCTAGGGCTATTATCCTTGCTTAGGGTGCGATAGGTCCCTGGTTCAAATCCCAGATGAGCCCAGCTTACATTATGGTTCATCAACAAAATTTTCCAACCTTGTTGCATTTGTAGTTTTGTTTCCACATTGCACACCAAATAAAACGCATTTTCCATGGCTCGTTGGTCTTGGGCTATGATTCTTGCTTCGGGTGCGAGAGGTCCAGGGTTCAAACCCTGGGCGAGCCCAGCTTTCATTATGGTTCAACAACTACATTTTCCAACATTGTTGCATCTGTAGTTTTGTTTCCACTTTCCACAGCAAATAAAATCCACGTTCCATGGCTCGTTGGTCTATGGGTATGATTTTCGCTTTGGGTGCGAGAGGTCCCGGGTTCAAATCCCGGATGAGCCCATCTTTCCTCATGGTTCAACAAATACATTTGCCACCCTTGTTTCATCTGTAGTTTTGTTTCCACTTGCAATAAAACCCAGGTTCCATGGCTCGTTGGTCTAGGGGTATGATTCTCGCTTTGGCTGCGAGAAGCCCCGGGTTCAAATCTTGGACGACCCCAGCTTTAATTTTGGTTCAACATCTATATTTTCCATGTGTTTTGCATCAATAGTTTTGTTTCCACATTGCACACCAAAAGAAAACCCATGTTCCATGGCCCGTTTGTCTAGGGGTATGATTCTTGCTTCGAGTGCGAGAGGTCCCGGGTTCAAATCCCGGACGAGCCCAGCTTTCATTATTGTTCAAAAACTAAATTTTCCACTCTTGTTGCATTTGTAGTTTTCTTTCCACTTTGCACAACAAATAAAAACCCATAAGCCTAGGCTCGTTGGTCTAGGGGTTTGATTGTCGCTTACAGTTCGAGAGGTCGCGGGTTCAAATCCAGGACGAGCCCAGCTTTAATTATGGTTCAACACCTAAATTTTTCACCCTTGTTGCATCTGTAGATTTGTTTCCACATTGCACACCAAAAGAATTCCTATGTTCCATGGCTTGTTGGTCTATGGGTATGATTCTCGCTTAGGGTCCGAGAGGTCCTGAGTTTAATTCCCGGACGAGCCCAGCTTGCATTATGGTTCAACAACTAAATTTTCCAACCTTGTTGCATCTGTAGTTTTGTTTCCACTTTGAACACCAAATAAAACCAAGATTCCAAGGCTCGTTGGTCTAGGGGTATGATTATTGCATTTCATCATGGTTCAACAACTAAATTTTCCACCTTGTTGCATTTGTAGTTTTCTTTCCACTTTGACAATAAATAAAACCATATGGGCTCGTTGGTCTAGGGGTATGATTCTCGCTTACAGTTCGAGAGGTCCCGGGTTCAAATCCAGGACGAGCCCAGCTTTAATTATGGTTCAACACCTAAATTTTTCACCCTTTTGCATCTGTAGTTTTGTTTCCACATTGCACACCAAAAGAAACCCATGTTCCATGGCTCGTTGGTCTAGGGGTATGATTCTCGCTTTGGGTGCGAGAGGTCCCGGGTTCAAATCCCGGACGAGCCCAGCTTGCATTATGGTTCAACAACTAAATTTTCCAACCTTGTTGCATCTGTAGTTTTGTTTCCACATTGCACACCAAAAGAAAACCCATGTTCCTTGGCTCGTTGGTCCAGGGGTATGATTTTCGCTTATGATGCGAGAGGTCCTGGGTTCAAATCCTAGACGAGCCCAGCTTTTATTAAGGTTCAACAACTAAATTTTCCAACCTTGTTGCATCTATAGTTTCGTTTCCACATTGCACACCAAAAGAAAATCCATGTTCCATGGCTCGTTGGTCTCGGGGTATGATTCTTGCTTCAGGTGCGAGAGGTCCCGGGTTCAAATCCCGGTCGAGCCCAGCTTTCACTATGGTTCAACAACTAAATTTTCCAACCTTGTTGCATCTGTAGTTTTGTTTCCACATTGCACACCCAAAGAAAATCAAGGTTCCATGGCTTGTTGGTCTAGGGGTATGATTCTCGCTTTGGGTGCAAGAGGTCCCAGGTTCAAATCCTGGACGAGCTTTATTATGGTTCAACAACTAAATTTTCCAACCTTGTTGCATCTGTAGTTTTCTTTCCACATTGCACACCAAAGAAAATCCATGTTCCATGGCTCGTTGGTCTCGGGGTATGATTCTTGCTTTGGGTGCGAGAGGTCCCGGGTTCAAATCCTGGTTGAGCCCAGCTTTCACTATGGTTCAACAACTAAATTTTCCAACCTTGTTGCATCTGTAGTTTTGTTTCCACATTGCACACCAAAAGAAAACCAATTCCATGGCTCGTTGGTCTAGGGGTATGATTCTCGCTTTGGGTGCGAGAGGTCCCGGTTCAAATCCGGGAACCCAGCTTTAATTATGGTTCAACACCTAAATTTTCCACCCTTGTTGCATCTGTAGTTTTGTTTCCACTTTGCACACCAAATAAAACCATGTTCCATGGCTCGTTGGTCTAGGGGTATGATTCTTGCTTCGGGTGCGAGAGGTCCCGGGTTCAAATCCCGGATGAGCCCAGCTTTCCTCATGGTTCAACAAATACATTTTCCACCCTTGTTGCATCTGTAGTTTTGTTTCCACTTTGCACACCAAATAAAACCCAGGTTCCATGGCTCGTTGGTCTAGGGGTATGATTCTTGCTTAGGGTGCGAGAGGTCCCGGGTTCAAATCCCAGGACGAGCCCAGCTTTTATGGTTCAACACCTAATTTTCCACCCTTGTTGCATCTGTAGTTTTGTTTCCACTTTGCACACCAAATAAAACCCAGGTTCCATGGCTCGTTGGTCTAGGGGTATGATTCTCGCTTTGGGTGCGAGAGGTCCCGGGTTCAAACCCCGGATGAGCCCAGCTTTGCTCATGGTTCAACAAATACATTTTCCACCCTTGTTGCATCTGTAGTTTTGTTTCTACTTGCAATAAATCCCAGGTTCCATGGCTCGTTGGTCTAGGGGTATGATTCTTGCTTCGGGTGCGAGAGGTCCCGGGTTCAAATCCTGGACGAGCCCAGCTTTAATTTTGGTTCAACACCTATATTTTCCATGTGTTTTGCATCAATAGTTTTGTTTCCACATTGCACACCAAAAAAAAACCCATGTTCAATAGCTCGTTGGTCTAGGGGTATGATTCTTGCTTCGGGTGTGAGAGGTCCCGGGTTCAAATCCCGGACGAGCCCAGCTTTAATTTTGGTTCAACACCTATATTTTCCATGTGTTTTGCATCAATAGTTTTGTTTCCACATTGCACACCAAAAGAAAACCCATGTTCAATGGCTCGTTGGTCTAGGGCAATGATTCTTCCTTCGGGTGCAAGGGTCCCGGGTTCAAATCCCGGACGAGCCCAGCTTTCATTATGGTTCAACAACTAAATTTTCCACTCTTGTTGCATTTGTAGTTTTCTTTCCACTTTGCACAACAAATAAAAACCCATACGCCTAGGCTCGTTGGTCTAGGGGTTTGATTCTCGCTTACAGTTTGAGAGGTCGCGGGTTCAAATCCAGGACGAGCCCAGCTTTAATTATGGTTCAACACCTAAATTTTTCACCCTTGTTGCATCTGTAGATTTGTTTCCACATTACACACCAAAAGAAATCCTATTTTCAATGGCTTGTTGGTCTAGGGGTATGATTCTCGCTTAGGGATCGAGAGGTCCCGGGTTTAATTCCCGGACGAGCCCAGCTTGCATTATGGTTCAACAACTAAATTTTCCAACCTTGTTGCATCTGTAGTTTTGTTTCCACTTTGAACACCAAATAAAACCAAGATTCCAAGGCTCGTTGGTCTAGGGGCATGATTCTTGCTTAGGGTGCGAGAGGTCCCGGGTTTGATTCCCGGACGAGCCCAGCTTGCAATATTGTTCAACAACTAAATCTTCCAACCTTGTTGCATCTGTAGTTTTGTTTCCACTTTGAACACCAAATAAAACCAAGATTCCAAGGCTCGTTGGTCTAGGGGTATGCTTCTTGCTTAGGGTGCGAGAGGTCCCGGGTTCAAATCCCGGATGAGCCCAGCTTTCCTCATGGTTCAACAAATACATTTTCCACCCTTGTTGCATCTGTAGTTTTGTTTCCACTTTGCACACCAAATAAAACCCAGGTTCCATGGCTCGTTGGTCTAGGGGTATGATTCTCGCTTTGGGTGCGAGAGGTCCCGGGTTCAAATCCCGGACGAGCCCAGCTTTAATTTTGGTTCAACACCTATGTTTTCCATGTGTTTTGCATCAGTAGTTTTGTTTCCACATTACACACCAAAAGAAAACCCATGTTCCATGGCTCGTTGGTCTAGGGGTATGACTCTTGCTTCGGGTGCGAGAGGTCCCGGGTTCAAATACCGGACGAGCCCAGCTTTCATTATGGTTCAACAACTAAATTTTCCAACCTTGTTGCATCTGTAGTTTTGTTTCCACTTTGGCACATCAAATAAATCCCATACACCATGGCTCGTTGGTCTAGGGATATGATTCTCGCCTTGAGTGCGAGAGGTCCCGGGTTCAAGTCCCGAGCTCAAATCCCGGGCGAGCCCATCTTAAAATATGGTTTAACACCTCAATTTTCCACTCTTTGTTGCAGCTGTAGTTTTCTTTCCACTTTGCACACCAAATAAAACCAATGTCCCATGGCTCGTTGGTCTAGAGGTATGATTCTCGCTTTGGGTGTGAGAGGTCCCGGGTTCAAATCCCGGACGAGCCCAGCTTTCATTATGGTTCAACAACTAAATTTTCCAACCTTGTTGCATCTGTAGTTTTGTTTCCACATTGCACACCTAAAGAAAATCCATGTTCCATGGCTCGTTGGTCTCGGGGTATGATTCTTGCTTCGGGTGCGAGAGGTACCGGGTTCAAATCCCGGTTGAGCCCATCTTTCACTATGCTTCAACAACTAAATTTTCCAACCTTGTTGCATCTGAAGTTTTGTTTCCACATTGAACATCAAAAGGAAACCAATATTCCATGGCTTGTTGGACTAGGGGTAGGATTCTCGCTTTGAATGCGAGAGGTCCCAGGTTCAAATCCTGGAAGAACCCAGCTTTAACTATGGTTTAACACCTAAATTTTCCACTCTTTTTGCATCTGTAGTTTTCTTTCCACTTTGCACACC